TTAAAAATACCCTACGCAGGATATTTACTATCAGGAAATAGATCAATTTTTTTAGATTATGAAGGAAACATTTTATGGTTTTATACCTGTACCAAAAAAGTATCACCACTATATGTTTTTGAAGATAAACGATGCTATAAAAGAATCCCTATCTTTTATAAGAATAAGGTACACTTCGTTGACACACTTTCAAGACGAACCTATTTCTGGGATACCGCAGTCCCATGTGGATCAGAAAATAGCCACAATGTAGTTCAACTGAACCCTGATGAAGATAAATATTATCTTCTTACTCCATATCCCACATTAATGCAATCACTCAAAAAATTTTCACCTGAAAGCATTAGAGCTATTGTTCGAAACCCAAATATTGACTTACAATCAATTGGAATATATTCAAAATCCGATATACAACATCACATTAGAACACAACAATTCCAAGAATTATTAACACAAATGGACACGATACAAAGACAATCAATTGACCAAAACTTACGCAAACTTGCCGAAACAGCAGGATTTGCAGATATTTATACACAAGACTATAGCGGATATTTTAAAGACATTAAAGACTATATATATCTAAACGGTGAAAAATACCGACCACAAGAAATTTCACCTATAAATATTTTTAGCTTTGTTACACTAAAAAATAAAATTCTCGATTTTCTAGGATGGCCCTACTACATCTTAGAAAAATTGACTATTTTATACGCAATGTTTAACTTTATAGGATTTCTTTTTTCGCTTTTAAAAGGAATCTATAATACATGCGCTATACACACACAAGTAAATAGACAAGCAAGTGTAGCACGCATACTATTTGCAGGATTTTTTGGAATTTTTTCATCATCAATAAACAAAATTCTTTTAGATGCACAAATAAAGGAATACAACACAAAAATAGCAACAAGACAGAACACATACGACGAAGAACATAACAATGTAGACATTACGCCTACAGCACCACAGTTACCACCACTACCACATAACCATCCATTATCACTAGTCCCACGAAATTTTCGAAATTTAGCAATAACAAATAATCCAAATTTTAGACCAACTATATCACAAAGTCCCATTCAACATATAATGACACACCATTCACTAGATGAAAATACATATGAACAAATCATAGAACAACCCCATACCACCGCTTTTCAGTCTCAAAATAATAATTTTTTTAGCCCACGATGAGCCGACAACTTGGATCCCTACACCGCTCAAATTCACACCCAACCAACCTCAACACTCCAATTACAATAATTCCACTTTTTGCTTTCCCACCACCCGATTTCCCAACCAATAATATAACATCAGGCATGAATTCAGACACTAATTCACACATCTCAGTTTTATACTCCATCTCACAACTCAATAACCCAGATATTGAAACCCCTGACGAATTTGCCGACTCTGAACCATCTCCATCCAATAATTCTCAAACCAATCCCTCAGTTTTTTCAAAACCCCCTTTTCAACCAATCCCACCAAATAACCCACTCCCATCCCTTTCTACACCATCCTATGCTTCACAAGTTACCCCAACCTACTCCTCATTTCATTCAGACCGATCATCCAATTCTCCAGATACTCCCCAAATCTCCCAGGAACTAGATAATTTTATCACCCTACAACAACAACCCTTCCACCTTGACACCTCAACTATAAACCAGATTTCATCAACCATATGATCATCAAATCCACCTACCCCTACACCCTGTTCAGCTTATACCGCATCACTAGCACCATCATCCACATCCACCGAGTCATCAATTAGCACTAATAGAGCTTACCGCACTTTCAAAAGAAAATTCCCAAACCATCCATTTCCAACAAAACCAGGAACAGCCCGTGAATATATTAATCATCCAAATCACACTAACACGAAAGAATTTTTAGCAATCACCTTACCTTCATTTCCACAATATACTTTGAACACCCCTACAGATACTAACGATACACGTAGCTTTGTAGATGAACAAGTTTTAATGCCTACACTTCATTGGACAGCATATTATCATTTTACTAACCCCCTTTGCCTACCTTTATCTAATACTCACATCGATATAGAACGAAATCAAGATATGCTATATCGACTCACTACACCACTAACACATAGACAATTTACTTACATCGGATATAAAAAATCACTAAAAACATACACTGCACCCCGAGCTAACGAATATACGCTAGAATATTACGATCATAACATCATCCGAACTAACCAAGACCAATTTTTAGATGATGATCGCTTCGCTAACCCACAAATCACAGAAAAATTTTTCATCAAAACACCATATGTTTTTACACTCAATATATTTGATCGCAAATTCGACCACATCATTTCTGAAGCACTAACCGACACACAAGCTTACGAAAGTTTTAAAGAAAGATTTCAATTATTTTCACTAACCTTTCATTTCCTTGCACCACATGAACGAGATTTGCACTGCTCACATGACATTATGTTACGCACTAAACAAACCCACACATAAACATATTACCGCTTTATACAAAATCACTTTGACCTACACACTCCATCAAGACAACCACACCATCGTTTTCAATTTATTAACTCTAAATACACATCACCATTTTTTCTTAACTTCACATATTGCATCAAAGATACTAACCTTCACGGTATTCTTCGCAATTATGATCCCATAACCCAAATGTATATTTTTTGTCCCATCACAAAGACCTTCAACGCAGAAGAATCCAGACCCTTCCTTATTCCACATGAATTTGTTCAACCTATAGAAATCCCCATATTAGAATTCATCCACAACACTAAATATAACCACAAATTATATAACCTCATCCAAAACACACCTTATGATTTTGCAGTTGGCACTGAAGAACTAAAAACCATTAAAGCACTTCAATTGCTTTGGCCACTGCTTCAAACTAAAACATCATTCGCATACTAGCAAAGTTACTAACAAATTCCGACATAACCCACGACATCTTCCCCCACGGTTTTTTCCCCGACGACTAACAGGTAAGTATAATTTATACATATACTAATAAATTTAAAAATAAAACACTAACCATTCTTTATCCATGTTTTATTTAGATTTTTAGTCTTCATCTCACGATCATCTGCAAAATACACAAAAGAAAAATAAAAAATTGAAAACTTCTTCAAATTGTCCCAAATTCTAATAATCTTTTGCACCAGCTAAATTAAATAAAATTCATACAAATGTAATAAATTAATTTATAAATTATTTCCCTAAAAGCAGTAATTCTAATAATGATGAAAATTTGTAACTTAATTTTTCCCCAAAACGAACAATAAAATTGAAATTCTATGTAGTAAATTAATAAAACGCAAATGCAGTACTAACCTTTTGATATTTTCATTCACTCGCACAAGAATTCTATCCAAACTCGCACAGCTCGCCCACGAAGAATTGTTTAAATAATGAATTTCAGTTTCAAGCTTTCACACTCAATAACTCTAACACACGATAACAAGTTTCAAACATTCCTTTAACCCGGTTGGAAAGGAATTATATACTACACAAAACTAACCAATGCAGCTTACTAAACACCACAACACATAGAATAACAGCATGACTAAGAAAAGGAAACCAACGGTACCCAAACCGGATTAACCCAGTTTAAAACTGGATAATTTATTCTTTTGAAGACTATTATAAAGTCTAAGAAAGAAATAATAAAACACAAAAAAGTCCAAAGACAAACCCATACCAAAAACAATTTGATTTTTGAAAAAAGGACACAACCAACGAAACATAAGAAAAACCACAATAAACCCAACATAAAACGTTATCACATAACAGGACCTCTCACAGAAACCGCACGAAATCATACTCCCACTCCTGGCCTAACCCACCAGAGAGGACGTCCTGAGCATGCTCTATAGCCGGCCTAACCCACCGCGCTACATCCACGCTTTGTGACCACACTCCTATTTTTAATAAGAGGTACTCAAGGGTGAGTAACTCTTCAAAATAACTGAACTAAAACAGAAAGCTTTTGTGAAAACAACTAACCATAATCATAACTAAAACACTAAACTAATAAAAATTTTATAAAATGTAAATTATATCTTGCAGTATATAGATCAGCATACAACACCAAAGACGAACATCCAAAGACAAAATGACCCCACTACACTCGAAAAAGAATGGCCAACCACAATCAGTATGCCGCCCACAATCACAACTCAAAGGATTTAGAGTACGACTTGACTTCGCAGAAAAGGACTTCATTGAACTAGAACAATGACCACCTCGATGTTCAAGTATACGTACAGATCCGAGTAACCAGGCATCCCCTCCACGCACAATCTCCACGCCATTCCCAGACAAGGTCAAACACAAAGAAGTTCTCTACATGAAACGAAAAAACCTGTCATAGCCAACCATTCTGAAATCAGATTTGAGTTTGTTGTGAAAACCCAGTCGTTGTCATGAGAAGACACAACGATTGAATCTGGAACTTCTCTAACAAGAGAACCCAGACGAAATATGATGTTCGCCAAATACCAACGTCCATCATCCATCTTTTGAATTGCAGAAAGACTATTCTAAAAAACTCTGTAAAATCCGGATGGGTGGAACCTGATCTAAACTACATTTTATGATTGGATAAATTAGATATTTTACCACTGTAAAGTATTTAATATTAACCAATCATGATCCATCTAACTAACAACCCACTTATTTGTAAGTGCTGGAATTACTTGTAATTTCAGCACCAGAGAGATTTGAATTTAACTTAGAAATTAGTTGACTCTCCAAGAAGACTTCAGCAGCCGCAATAAACCAGTATACCCTAGATCTATTGAGCCTAGCAGAGACTAGTTAAACACCCTGAGACTAGATAGTATAAGAGTAAGATTAGGATCGGTATTAGACTAAGAAGTTGCACGAATCTATCCGGCCGAAAATAAGATAGCGTGACGAGCAGACGGTGTACCCTATCCGAAATTACTCTATGAGTTAACCACCTCGGTTATAACTCAGGCTGCCAGGGGCAAAGTGTTCTCTGTTCGAAGAGATTTTGACTGAAGGCGCTGAACTGGATATGAAAAACCAGCTGTTGACTCTATTTTCAGAAGCCGCTATCTGGCAAATGACTGTATGGAGGCAAGTTCCTGAAGGCGCTGAACTGATTATGAAAAACCAGCAGTTGACTCCGTTTTCCAAAGCCGCTCTCTGGAAAATGACTGTATATAGGCAAGTTCCTGAAGGCGCTGAACTGATAATGAAAAACCAGCAGTTGACTCCATTTTCAGTAGCCGCTCTCTGGAAAATTACTGTACGGAGGCCAATTCCTGAAGGCGCTGAATTGATTATGAAAAACCAGTTTCTGACTCCATTTTCATTAGCTGCTCTCTGAAAAATGACTGTATGGAAGCAAGTTCCTGAAGGCGCTGAACTGATTATGAAAAACCAGCAGTTGACTCTATTTTCAGAAGCCGCTCTCTCGAAAATGACTGTATAGAGGAAGTTCCTGATGGCGCTGAACTGATTATGAAAAACCAGCTGTTGACTCCATTTTCAGAAGCCGCTCTCTGGAAAAGCACTGTATGTAGGCAAATTCCTGAAGGCGCTGAACTGAGTATGAAAAACCAGCAGTTGACTGCATTTTCAGATGCCGCTTTCTGAAAAATGACTGTATGGAGGCAAGTTCCTGAAGGCGCTGAACTGATTATGAAAAAGCAGCTGTTGACTCCATTTTCAGAATCCGCTCTCTGGAAAAGCACCGTATGGAGGCAAGTTCCTGAAGGCGCTGAACTGATTATGGAAAACCAGCTGTTGACTCCATTTTCAGGAGCCGCTCTCTGGAAAATGAGTGTATGGAGGCCATTTCCTGAAGGCGCTGAATTGATTATGAAAAACCAGTTTCTGACTCCATTTTCATTAGCTGCTCTCTGGAAAAGGACTGTATGGAAGCAAGTTCCTGAAGGCGCTGAACTGATTATGAAAAACCAGCAGTTGACTCTATTTTCAGAAGCCGCTCTCTCGAAAATGACTGTATAGAGGAAGTTCCTGATGGCGCTGAACTGATTATGAAAAACCAGCTGTTGACTCCATTTTCAGAAGCCGCTCTCTGTAAAAGCACTGTATGGAGGCAAGTTCCTGAAGGCGCTGAACTGATTATGAAAAACCAGCAGTTGACTGCATTTTCAGATGCCGCTTTCTGAAAAATGACTGTATGGAGGCAAGTTCCTGAAGGCGCTGAACTGATTATGAAAAACCAGCTGTTGACTCCATTTTCAGAAGCCGCTCTCTGGAAAAGAACTGTATGGAGGCAAGTTCCTGAAGGCGCTGAACTGATTATGGAAAACCAGCTGTTGACTCCATTTTCAGAAGCCGCTCTCTGGTAAGTGACTGTTTGGAGGCAAATTCCTGATTGCGCTGAACTGATTATGAACACCAAGCAGTTGATTCCATTTTCAGAATCCGCTCTCTGGAAAATGACTGTATGGAGGCAAGTTCCTAAAGGTGCTAAACTGATTATGAAAAGCGAACTGTTGACACCATTTTCAGAAGCGGCTCTAGGAAAATGACTATATGGAGGCAAGTTCCTGAAGGCGCTGAACTGATTATGAAAAACCAGCAGTTGACTCCATTTTCAGAAGCCGCTCTCTAGAAAATGACTGTATAGAGGCAAGCTCCTGAAGGCGCTGAACTGATAATGAAAAACCAGCAGTTGACTCCATTATCAGAAGCCGCTCTCTGGAAAATGACTGTATGGAGGCAAGTTCCTGAAGGCGCTGAACTGATTTTGGAAAACCAGCTGTTGACTCCATTTTCAGAAGCCGCTCTCTGGTAAATGACTGTTTGGAGGCAAATTCCTGATTGCGCTGAAATGATTATGAACACCAAGCAGTTGATTCCATTTTCAGAATCCGCTCTCTCGAAAATGACTGTATAGAGGAAGTTCCTGATGGCGCTGAACTGATTATGAAAAACCAGCTGTTGACTCCATTTTCAGAAGCCGCTCTCTGGAAAAGCACTGTATGGAGGCAAGTTCCTGAAGGCGCTGAACTGATTATGAAAAACCAGCAGTTGACTGCATTTTCAGATGCCGCTTTCTGAAAAATGACTGTATGGAGGCAAGTTCCTGAAGGCGCTGAACTGATTATGAAAAACCAGCTGTTGACTCCATTTTCAGAAGCCGCTCTCTGGAAAAGAACTGTATGGAGGCAAGTTCCTGAAGGCGCTGAACTGATTATGGAAAACCAGCTGTTGACTCCATTTTCAGAAGCCGCTCTCTGGTAAGTGACTGTTTGGAGGCAAATTCCTGATTGCGCTGAACTGATTATGAACACCAAGCAGTTGATTCCATTTTCAGAATCCGCTCTCTGGAAAATGACTGTATGGAGGCAAGTTCCTAAAGGTGCTAAACTGATTATGAAAAGCGAACTGTTGACACCATTTTCAGAAGCGGCTCTAGGAAAATGACTATATGGAGGCAAGTTCCTGAAGGCGCTGAACTGATTATGAAAAACCAGCAGTTGACTCCATTTTCAGAAGCCGCTCTCTAGAAAATGACTGTATAGAGGCAAGCTCCTGAAGGCGCTGAACTGATAATGAAAAACCAGCAGTTGACTCCATTATCAGAAGCCGCTCTCTGGAAAATGACTGTATGGAGGCAAGTTCCTGAAGGCGCTGAACTGATTTTGGAAAACCAGCTGTTGACTCCATTTTCAGAAGCCGCTCTCTGGTAAATGACTGTTTGGAGGCAAATTCCTGATTGCGCTGAAATGATTATGAACACCAAGCAGTTGATTCCATTTTCAGAATCCGCTCTCTGGAAAATGACTGTATGGAGGCAAGTTCCTAAAGGTGCTAAACTGATTATGAAAAGCGAACTGTTGACACCATTTTCAGAAGCAGCTCTAGGAAAATGACTATATGGAGGCAAGTTCCTGAAGGCGCTGAACTGATTATGAAAAACCAGCAGTTGACTCCATTTTCAGAAGCCGCTCTCTGGAAAATGACTGTATAGAGGCAACTTCCTGAAGGCGCTAAACTGATTATGAAAAACCAGCTGTTGACTCCATTTTCAGAAGCCGCTCTCTGGTAAATGACTGTATGGAGGCAAAGTCCTAAAGGCGCTTAACTGATTATGAAAAGCCAGCTGTTGACTCCATTTTCAGAAGCCGCTCTCTGGAAAATGACTGTATGGAGGCAAGTTCCTGTTGGCGCTGAACTGATTATGAACATCAAGCAGTTGATTCAATCTTCAGAATCTGCTCCCTGGAAAATGACTGTATGCAGGCAAGTTCCTGAAGGAGCTGAACTGATTTTGAAAAACCAGCAGTTGACTCCATTTTCAGATGCCGCTCTAGGAAACTGGCTGTATGGAGGCAAAAATTTTTTGGCGCTAAACTGATTATGCAAAACCAGCAGTTGACTCCATTTTCAGAAGCCGCTCTCTGGTAAATGACTGTATGGAAACAAGTTCCTGAAGGCGCTAAACTGATTATGAAAAGCCAGCTTGTGACTCCATTTTCAGGAGCCGCTCTCTGGAAAATGAGTGTATGGAGGCAAATTCCTGAAGGCGCTGAATTGATTATGAAAAACCAGCTGTTGACTCCATTTTCAGAAGCCGCTTTCTGGTAAATGACTGTATGGAGGCAAGTTCCTAAAGGCGCTAAACTGATTATGAAAAGCCAGCTGTTGACTCCATTTTCAGAAGCCGCTCTCTGGAAAATAACTGTATGGAGGCAAGTTCCTGATGGCGCTGAACTGATTATGAACACCAAGCAATTGATTCTATTTTCAGAATCTGCTCCCTGGAAAATGACTGTATGCAGGCAAGTTCCTGAAGGCGCTGAACTGATTATGAAAAACCAGCAGCCGACTTCATTTTCAGATCCCGCTCTAGGAAACTGACTGTATGGAGGCAAAATCTTTTAGGCGCTGAACTGATTATGCAAAACCAGCAGTTGACTCCATTTTCAGAAGCCGCTCTCTGGAAAATGACTGTATAGAGGCAAGTTCCTGAAGGCGCTGAACTGATAAGGGAAAACCAGCAGTTGTCTCCATTTTCAGAATCCGCTCTCTGGAAAATGACTGTATGGAGGCAAGTTCCTGAAGGCGCTGAGCTGATTATGAAAAACCAGCTTTTGACTCTTTTTTCAGAAACCGCTCTCTGGTAAATGACTGTATGGAGGCAAGTTCCTGAAGGCGCTGAACTGATTATGAAAAACCAGTTTCTGACTCAATTTTCATTAGCCGCTCTCTGGAAATGACTGTATAGAGGCAAGATCCTGATGGCGGTGAACTGATTATGAACACCAAGCAGTTTACTCCATTTTCAGATGCCGCTCTCTGGAAAATGACTGTATGGAGGCAAGTTCCTGAAGGCGCTGAATTGATAAGAAAAACCAGCATTTGACTTCATTTTCAGAAGCCGCTCTCTGGAAGATGACTGTATAGAGGCAAGTTCCTGAAGGCGCTGAACTGATAATGAAAAACAGAAGTTGACTCCATTTTCAGAATCCGCTCTCTGGAAAATGACTGTATGGAGGCAAGTTCCTGAACGCGCTGAACTGATTATGAAAAACCAGCAGTTGACTCCATTTTCAGAAGCCGCTCTCTGGAAAATGACTGTATAGAGGCAAGTTCCTGAAGGCGCTAAACTGATTATGAAAAACCAGCTGTTGACTCCATTTTCAGAAGCCGCTCTTGGTAAATGACTGTATGGAGGCAAAGTCCTAAAGGCGCTAAACTGATTATGAAAAGCCAGCTGTTGACTCCATTTTCAGAAGCCGCTCTCTGGAAAATGACTGTATGGAGGCAAGTTCCTGTTGGCGCTGAACTGATTATGAACATCAAGCAGTTGATTCCATCTTCAGAATCTGCTCCCTGGAAAATGACTGTATGCAGGCAAGTTCCTGAAGGCGCTGAACTGATTATGAAAAACCAGCAGCCGACTTCATTTTCAGATCCCGCTCTAGGAAACTGACTGTATGGAGGCAAAATCTTTTAGGCGCTGAACTGATTATGCAAAACCAGCAGTTGACTCCATTTTCAGAAGCCGCTCTCTGGAAAATGACTGTATAGAGGCAAGTTCCTGAAGGCGCTGAACTGATAAGGGAAAACCAGCAGTTGTCTCCATTTTCAGAATCCGCTCTCTGGAAAATGACTGTATGGAGGCAAGTTCCTGAAGGCGCTGAGCTGATTATGAAAAACCAGCTTTTGACTCTTTTTTCAGAAACCGCTCTCTGGTAAATGACTGTATGGAGGCAAGTTCCTGAAGGCGCTGAACTGATTATGAAAAACCAGTTTCTGACTCAATTTTCATTAGCCGCTCTCTGGAAATGACTGTATAGAGGCAAGATCCTGATGGCGGTGAACTGATTATGAACACCAAGCAGTTTACTCCATTTTCAGATGCCGCTCTCTGGAAAATGACTGTATGGAGGCAAGTTCCTGAAGGCGCTGAATTGATAAGAAAAACCAGCATTTGACTTCATTTTCAGAAGCCGCTCTCTGGAAGATGACTGTATAGAGGCAAGTTCCTGAAGGCGCTGAACTGATAATGAAAAACAGAAGTTGACTCCATTTTCAGAATCCGCTCTCTGGAAAATGACTGTATGGAGGCAAGTTCCTGAACGCGCTGAACTGATTATGAAAAACCAGCAGTTGAC